TTTTAGAATTGCCCCAGCCTAACCGTATTGACAACGGGGAGTTCAAACTTTCAAATCTTGAACTGTTTCCAGATTTTTTGTGAAAATATGCCAACCATAGTGCCTTTCTTGGAGTTAGAAATCGGAAAACTGATAACTATAGACAATATCAGATGGGGTGGGAGTCACTTGAAGGCCACTTTGTTAATGGTACAGGCCGTACGTATTAACTAGTATCATAAATACATGCATAAGTAATTCAGGAACACGAAAAGGCAATATGGCACAATATTTCCGGTCTGTAAAGGTTAGCTCATATTTTGTCAGGAATCTGTAAAAACGGACATTTTGGCAGACCTGGCTAGTTCCAATGCAAAATAATCAAGTCAGCACGGATGGGTTGCTATAACTACAAGGTAATAATTGAATGACAAAGAAACACAGTTGGGTCAATATTCACCTCTAAATGTCTTAATGAAGTAGAAAAATATACTGAAGTTGACCATTTGTTTTTATTTACCCTTTTTGTATTTTGGGAACAAAATCTATAGCAGATAGAGACTGAACAGAAAAAAGAATCAGCAATACAAGATCTACAAAAAAAGAGATTTTAGTTATCAAATATATTCTAGTCTATAATGTCGGAGTGACCATTGCACATATACCTAGGTTAGCGACACAAGCTGTTTAGAGCCTCTAGTAGTCGATCACCAAGGAAAGGTTGATTATGCCTGCCAGAAAGACGCATAAAGCTGTTATTTTATACGGATATCCTAGGGATGAACAGGGTTACATCCTTATTACGTGTTCTTAAGGTAATGGTTGACACACACTGAATTTAGTACCAATTCAAAGTCATGCAGTAATGCCTCTCGCCGATTTCATTGGGCTCGCTCAACTTCAAATACTGGATCGGTAACCGTCTTCTTCTGGAATTAGTCCAATAATGTGACTCTCCTTTGTATGTAAGAGTCTTAAAAAAATCTACCAACAGCCAACATAATAGGTATCAACATGTATGTAGGTAACAATTATACAAATCTTAAGATTTTAGCATATAAACAGATGAGATGCATGTATGAAAAAAAGGGATACGCCTACGTGGAAGTCGGGGTTACTCCAATAGAACTATCAAATTTGTTGAAGCAAAATAATGACTTGTTTTGATATTTGTTTATTTGTTGTAGAAATATTTTTGATCGTTTATATGGTTCATTTAATATATAATCATATTTGATCGTTCATTTATACTCTAATAAAGTTCACTCTCTTTCTTTCTTATTCTCAGCGAAAAAAGAAAATAAACCAAAGGGGTAATCAAACTCATAAGCCGAAAACAACCTGACAATGCTATTAATTTCTGTGTTACACTTGCACAGATACAACCGTTGTTATCGTTAACTATCAATTGCTAGTTATAATCCACAGTGGGCACTGATACCACCAAGTACCTGTGATAGGACTTTTTAAAATAGTAATGTTTGAAGTAAATTTGATGCAAACATACTTGAGTTGCGGTATGTGACAATTTTCCTTAAATCTGTCCCGTAATTTTGAATTGACAGATTAGAAAAAAATACCGTTGAATGCAAACGCGAGCTACAATCCAAACATCTATATTTAAATTGATCAAAGCAATATATAATATTAAGTATGCGACATATACAATTGCCTAAAATCTGACGGTTAAATTCGCACAAATTTGGAATACCAAATCACAAAAGTTTTAACAATTCCAACAAAAATTTAAGGTAAATCAATCTTAGCATACTCGAGTTAGTTGGTGACATGTGAATAATTGGAATAAACTCTGTTGATTCAAGTACACAGGAACGAGAAACCAGAATATTTCCAAAATTGAAAGGAAGCCCATTCTTGCTAATCAAGAAAAGAGCTTCATGTTTCTGTGAATAGATCCAAGAATAAGTGAGTTGATGCTATAATTGTGACAATTTGCTGAAACTCTGTCGGTTAAAGTACCGTGACTGTCCACAAACGAAAAATCGAACAAATTTCAAAATCGAAAAGGAGCATTCTAGTTTTTGTACGACGTGTGGACGAAGGTAGTATATATACTTCCAATCAACCATACGGGCATATGCAATTAATTGAAAGGTTATTGACTCATCATATCGGTACTAAGACAAAAATGACTAACAAAATGACAAAAAAGACATGCACACACAACCGATCTGAGAGTAATCGCAGTTACTGAAAGCTTGGTCAAAACCGGCACTAATAAATAAACCATGTTTTCCCAGACTAAAAGATCAATTGTACACACTACACTTAACGGATTTAGTGTAAAGACTTCATAAGCAGTCTGAAAACCCATTAAATCGTGCAATGCCTAAACATTTAAGTATCAAGAGTATACAGGAGAACAAGCTAAAACAACCTGACAGAAATACACGCCCAGCTATGCACCATACTATCGATAACTAAATCAATTAGTACTGATAAAGACAATTGATAACCTTTATAATAAGTTTACCAAAAAGGAACAACAAGTTTACCATGAACGCATCCTAAGCCACGAGCTCCATAAACCACATTCCCACAAAAAAATCAGGATACGACACATCGCCTGCAGCAAGACCCCCATAGACAGTCACGCCTCCAAACCAAATACTTTGGAGCGGTGGTACATAAAGTGGAAATGAAACCCAGATGTTAGAGCAAAACACTTCATATGCCTCTTCTAAAACACACGCGTGTTCTGGACCAAAAACCTACATTGAACTAAGCACTCCAGAAATGTAAGTGTTATAACTGCCTCTTATAATACACACTCGACCTACTCAACAAGTACCCCACAAAATCAACATTGAAAACTACTAGTACTCTTAAAACTGTAAGTACTTCCTGTCTCTTCGTATACAACTCACACGATCGACCACTTTCTTATCTGAAATTACTTTAGACTATTCTTAAGGAAGATGCATTCCATTACACTATAATAAGACAAACTGACATTTTTTACATTTCTAGTATAATTGCAGCTCCAGTAGCCTAACGTTTTGCCATGTACAAACAAAAATGAAAATAAGGAGATGTGGTATGATTGTGAATGAGACAACTATCCACCACCCCAAGTGACGTAGAGGTCATCGTACGGCTTTCAACAGTGAGCAAAATCCATACTGTATAGTCCGCTATAAAAGTACCAACATGACAAAATTGAATTGAAACGAGAAAACCAATGTTTGACACTAATTCTCTCACTGTATAAATCATGGTAATGATAAAGCAGAATCTTAAAATAGGGAAATAAGAAGGTACAAAATCATGAGGTTAAATACTATGAATTTATAAATATCTAACTCCGAAAGTGAAATTATTAATGAAACTGAAAATAGGATTTCACGTTCAGGTTATATTTAAAGGCATAGACCAGTCGTAATATTAAATGTACCTGTAAACGTTTGTAATTCCTCATATTTCTTCTATAGGGTTTTTAAAAACCTGTTTACATTTATGATATTGTATCATGGAGGCTGTCATGACAATTTTACTTCGCAAATGCTGTTTACGTGTAAAAAGTGTACTGTCATAAGTCATATACATGTACCTATATTTATGTGTTCCATTCTTTTATTGCAAATCAAGTCAAGTCATTGTTTAAATTATTTACGTATGAAATATGAATGCATTAACAAAACATGAACAGGTGAGTATTCACTTGAAGCTCCCCTGATGCATACATATTATATTGACAGAAGAAAATTGACAAAACTTGAATCTTAAATGATTTGTCTACATTAGCTGTGTATATGGATTGTCTGACACATTTCAAATAATTTCTTTCCAGGTGATCTTCTTCAATATAAAATAACTTCGAGCATATGATCTGATACTTTTTTCTATTGTTTACGCACTACATTTTATTTTTTAAGCAACAATTGTCCCATTTTACAAATAAATTATATTTTTTATGATACCTATAGAATTATGTATGATTGTTATGTATGATAATTAGGGAGAAATCCGTTTGCGCTAAAGCGCTAAAAATTCGTCATTTGCGCCTCTAGTTTTGAAAATAACTTGTATCATTTGCGCCAAAAATAGCTTTAACTCTTCCTCTGTGACCGGGTATGGGACTAGCAGTTTACATTGGCGGAGTTAGGGTTATTTAGAGTGATTTGATAACACTTGTTTGTAACTTAAGACTCAAACATAATCTCTGCGAAGGACTTTCATCACATATAAATCTGGTATTCTTCAACAGCAATTGTTTCCTTTTCTGAGTTATATGCCTGCTTTTAACTGTTATTGCAATATCACAATTTAATGTAAGTAGTTGGAATTTTATGATATTGGCCAAAAATCCAACCATAGAAGGACATTATGGATGCTATGAATAAAACAGTTTACCTTATTGTTTATGCAGTGCCTCTGGTCCATCATTAGTCGGTCTCGCGTTTGATTGAGCTTCCATCCAAACATATAGTGGAAACAAAGCATTGTCATCAGTGTTATGTAGACAACATATAATCAGCAGAAGTTTCTGCTTTCTTATTATTTATAATATCTTGCAACAAAAGTCCAATTTATTCCTTAAATTAAAATTTTTCAGCTGCCATAATTCATTGATGATTATTATATGTACACGTACAGGTAAATTGGCGCAATCGATACCTTTGAAATATAATATTTGGCACAAATGATACATCTTTAAAAAAGCAATTGGCGCAAACGAACTGCTGCCGATAATTATGTGTACAGGAACATTGACGCAAATGAATTCCATAGCTTGGCGCAATTGATGCCTTTGAAAAATAATATTTGGCGCAAAAAGACTGCTGCTCTATTTTGAATATATACAAAAACAAACACAAACAAAAACAAAAACAAAAAAATCACAAAACAAAACAGAACAGATTTATATCAAAAGGAAAGCAACAAACAAAAGCACAACAAAACAAAAACAAAATAAATAAACAAACAAAACCACAACAAAACCAACAAAAACAAAAACCAACACAAGAAATACACTTTTGAATTGCCTAGGTAGGAAATTTTCACTCAGTTGGGTTTACAGAAAATCGAGGACACTGGAAAATCCTACCATTTAAACTAAATGCTAATAATAATTTGTTTAAAGTTATCTGGATATTTAGAACGGTGTGTGGACGACAAACTTATTGTACGGTATGTGATTATGAAACATGTATTATATCATATTAATCTGTACAAAGAGCATAATATTGTATACCCTTTTTGTAGAAATATGCATCCGGGGGCTTCACTGATTTGAATACTCACCTGTAAATGTATCGTAATGCATTCATATCTCATTTTTAAGTGAAACACTGTTTTTTATTAACAATAATATTCATTTTCCTTTTAAAGACTGCATTTCATGACCAATCGATATGCATACATATACATTTAAAAATGTATGAATTGAAGGATATCTTATGTATAGTTCTACAGTAAAAACTTAATATTTCGTGTATGGTTTTAATAAATACACATGTTATCAATGACGATGCAATTAAGTGCATGCCTCATTACTAATTTGGTTACCTTTTTAAACCTGTTATACTTTCAAAGTTGGTGTTGCAATAAATAAGAAATATCCTCTAAAAGGATTTTTACCAGCAATAAGAGTTATACAATAGGAAATATTGGGCTTAATATAACAAAAACCAACCAGAGCAACTGCATTGTCATTTTGGGAAAGCGTCTGCTCGCATCAACCTATTCTGATTGTTTATGCTCTCTTTGTAGAAACAATGAGTAACTTGTTCAAATGGATATTCCTCCTGCAAATAGTTATTCCAGCGAGTGAATGTATGGATACAGTTCAGTGCAAATACCCATGTAGCTGTAACTTCAAGACTAAATCAGCAACCTGCAATGCACGTCATTTACGATATATTCCGAGGTTACCATCGGACATAAAGACAGTCAAGTTTGTTCAGAACAATTTCACCTATCTAGATAAACACTTTTTCAGAAATCTTACTTCTTACAACCGAATTGTAACACTCAATTTGACTGATAATCGCATACACTACATGAGTGCCGATTCTTTTCGCGAATTCAAGTATTTGGTGACCCTTGATATTTCTAAAGAGCCCAATCTCAACATTACTATGCTACAGCAATCTCTGTACAGCTTACCTGTGCGTCAAATGTCATTCATTCAGTTCTCTGGAAATGGATGGCGAATACTCCCAACGAACTTGTTTTTACCTTTCGTCAACAACTATAGAAGCTCATTCAGCATTTCATTGACCCGAAACAAACTTCAAAGCATAGATTCTAAAGTTTTTTGTTTCCTAATTAATCTGAAGACATTAAATCTTGCTTGGAACTCAATTAAAAATGTAACTCTAGAAAATGCATTATCCGTAAGAGTTCTTAATCTAGATAGCAACTTTATCCGTGATATTCCTGTGTGGTGTGGTTCCAAAAATAAGACAATGGTCCCAAATCTTCAGAAATTATTCTTAAGTGACAACTCAATTGCTGAAATGGATAGCTTATCATTTAGATGTCTAGGAAACCTCAAAATATTAAACCTTGATGCAAATAACTTTCGCACATTGCAAAGTAACACATTTAGTGAACTAGAAAGCTTAAATACATTGTATATTTCAGAAAATACAAGACTTAAAACAATAGAAGATTATGCTTTCAATGTGTCTTCTTTACAATTTCTCTATTTTACACGAAACCATTACCAGTTCAACAAAGGAATACACTACAGCTATAACCCGAAGACTTTATTTATGAAATGTCCTGATTTAGAACAACTAGATATGTCTTACAACGATTTGCCAACCAGAAACCAATATAATTATTTCCGAGATATATTTCGTCCACTAGTTAAACTGAAGATTTTGAGGCTAGAAAGTGCATCATTACGATCTTTGCCATATTATGCATTTCCTACAATGAAATATTTGCAAATTCTGGATCTGCAAAAAAACTTTTTACAAGGATGGAACCGAAGTGACCGAGTGTTTGGAACCAACTCGTCACTCAAAATATTAAATCTACGATCAAACTTGATAAGAGTTGTCAATAAAACAACATTCCCTCAAAGTCTGTTGTTCTCGCTTGATAAGCTCGATTTAGGAGACAATTATTTTTCTTGTAGTTGTGATCAAATGTGGTTTCGCGATTGGATACGGAAAAATTTTGAATTAAAAATAAGTTACAGTAAATTAATGTTGGTTGGTTACCCGGAATATTATAAATGTAAGCTGCCTGGAGACATGCGAGGCGTGCCATTACAAGATTACAACCCGACTGATGATAATTGTAAACAAGTGAACCCGTTAATCATAACGGCATCACTTCTCACTGGTGCCGGAATAGTCTCGTTTATTGTTATATTTATAATGTACAGATGTCAGACTAATATTCGGAATTACTTATATTTATGTAGATTTTATAAAAACAAAAAATCCGGTTACATACAATTAGATAACTGTGAAGACTATGAATATCACGCTTTCATCGTGTATTGTGACGCAGATAGAAACTGGGTCCATAACGTTTGTGTTAAAAGGCTTGAAAACGAGGAGGGTATGAAGATTTGCATTCATCATAGGGATTTTGACATCGGAGAACCTGTAACAGGAAATATTGAAAAGTACATGAGTAGATGTCGAAAAATAATTGTTGTTATGTCAAATAACTTTGCCGAAAGTGAATGGTGTCAGTGGGAGGTAGACCTTGTTCATGAAAGAAGAAGGAGGCAAGGAAAGGGTGTTTCTCTTCTCATCATGCTAAGGAGTATAGATTCTAAGCATATGACAAATCGACTCAGAGCTTTGTTAGATAGTACTCCACATCTTACATACTGTTCTGGTGTAGGCGAAAAGGTGTTCTGGACTGCGTTGATAAAAGGATTGAAAAAACCTATTGGTCATCCACCATTTGCTGTCGTCTGAATTGCGTTTTATGTGAAGTAATTCGGGTTGAAATTCGCTAGGAGCAATACAGAAATGATGAGCTATTAAGTAGATTTTAAACGTACATCTTTTATTGTCTACTGGTGTGTTTATATAATGTATATGAATTATCTACTTCACGTCTTATGGTATGAACCATTCACTTCTTGCGTGAACCCCCCCCCCCCCCCCCCCCCCCTTTTTAAGGGGGTCACGCCTTTATATTGGTGAGTTTTGGAAGTGTCTATATGGGCCATTCGATATCCTCGGAATGAAGATTCTCGGAACGTCTCGAAAATTTTCGATCATTCATACAGGTGTTATCTATGTCTTTGATACGGTTCCACTATGGATATGCTACCACGTAGAATTGGAAAGTAAAACAATAAAGACTAGGTTGCAGTCAAAAAATCATTTATATGTTAGAACCTATTTGCCTTTTGACAAAACATATGTGTTTTAGTATTGATTTATAAGTCTCTGCTTATATTTTGTATAGCAATATATTCATATAGTGGAATGTTAGACTTTAAGAAGAGATTGATTTGATAAATAAAATGTCTATCCGTAAATACTTGACGTTTGTGTTTATTGATATTATATTCTAAATTTTCGGAAAAAAAATCATTAACAGGAATGTATGTTAATTATAAAATTTCAATTTTTTGTTTGTTTGTTTGTTTTAATAGTTCCATCTTATAGCATCTAAATATTTGCACTATGGTACGATTTTTGAAAATTGTATTCATTGTGTCGACCAGCTATCCTACACGTCTTGGTTCTTTCACATTATACATTACTCTGTTCACACGCATTACTATCGGTTTGCGTTCACACAAAATCCGGATTAAATGGCAATGAATTCGGAGTCAAAACACTTGAGGTAGGTAGTTTGACATCCGAATTCAACTATTAGATTAATATATGTGATGACGCAAATGCGTATTCTTATCCAGAGTATCAGTGCATATGCTTTCTATTTACTATTTCTTTCGCAGAAATATCACGTGCATGCAAAAATATTAATTTCACTCGTGAATGCGAATTTTCGCTTTTCTTATCTCAATTCAGGACACGTGACTTTCAAGCATCATTACTTAGATTATTCCGACTGACCTCTAGCTGTTTCTCTTTTCTTTTCTGTTTTGAGTCACTGTCCTATTATAAACTTCGACATTTTCGAAATGCTAAGGATTTTCTACCCCAGGAATAGATTAATTTAGATGTATTCGGCAAAACCTTTGTTTCGAAATTTTGGGCCCTGAATTCCTTTCAACTTTGTACTTTATTTGGCCTTTTTAAGTTTTTTTATTCGAGCGTCACTGATGATTCTTTGTAGGCTAAACTCGTGCTGGCGTACAACATTTTAATCTTGGTATCTTTTTATATCTACATATCTTTTTATATAAATTGGTTCTTTAGAGAGTATGTTCAGGTATTCATAAAACTTCTGAAAACAAGATATTCTTCAAAGCCAAGTTTTCCTGTAGAATATTTGGATTTATTTTATTAAAATCCTTAAAATTTGAGATGTTTTATGAGACCAAAATAAGTCTCTATATAAGAGGTATCAATGAAGCTGGTGTGTTACTATTAAGAAAAATATACGAAACCTTCTTATAAATTGCATGCCACAGGGTTTCACTTCACATTGAAATTGGACTTTAAATTTATCTATACAACATCTACCATGAGTACAGACAGCTTCAATAACGAGTTGAGAATAATTGAAGGCATCAAGGAAACAAAATATGATAGATAAAATAAATGCATCCAGATTATAAAGCAAACTGAGTGCTTAAATTTATATTGCGATTGGTTTGTGCAATTTGCATTAGATATCCGGTTTGTAGAAACTTGGATTTGCAAAAGGGTTATGAAAAAATGATGTACACTCCCAAATAAAAAATAAATTAGTCGAGCCTTAAAATGTATATTCAAATAGTAGCTGTATATATACACTTTTCTATTCACAACTATCCAACATTGCTTTCAACTGACTTATGCAAGAATCTACACACAATTACATATTTTTAATAAAGGTGTTTTAACATCATCATTATCTTATTCTATTCACAGTCAATTATTTCAATTCAAAAGCAAACAAAAATTCAGCAACAATTTTTTGGTGACCAGTCAACGGTTTTGGGTTCACGTATGGCTAATACTGTAGTGTCTGGTCTGTCAAATGAGACCAAGGTACATATATTTTTTTTTCAAGTCACATCTTGCTGCGTTGTTAAATACGAAATGACTTTACTCAACAAACTACCCAAAGCTTTTGAATTAGCAACAAACAAATAATAAAAACATGCATTATTCATTTAAACACCATAACAATGATTTTTTTTAGAAGTATACTATTTACCAGTATAAATTGGGTTAAATAGCTGGAAATATATCAACCTCTTAAAAATCAACTGAATAATAAGTGATAACGTTGTTGGTTTGGGTCACATCTATTTGTAAATATTAGCGAATATTACAGGAAACCCAGTTGTAATTAAACAAAAGAAATGGAACTCTTTGTTAGAAAAGGTAAAAAAGGGGAAGTTGGTAAATTTGAATTGTTTAAATCTGTTTCTATGGGCTTTAAAAGTTTAATGAATGTGCCTAATTAAGGATTTTATGTATGCGTTTTTACTTAAATTATTGAATTGAGCTTCGAGATATTTGTACACTTTTAAATTATAGACAAATTTTCACAAAACCAGGGGCGGATCCATGATTTTAGGTTGGGGGGGGGGCAAATTATCGAAATATTCTTTATTAAGCTGAGGACAACCCATACTTTGCAAATTTTAGGGGGGCGCACTTTCGAAAATCCCCCATGACAACCGATCAGACAATAGTTTTAAGTTGAACAAATGCATAAAAGTACATTAAATGATGCTCAATAGCTAGTAGAATCATTTGTCTTTTAAAATACAACTGGCATATAAGGATCGTAATGATACTATGTGGATAAATTTATCGGTTTTCAAGAGCTAAATTGACAGCGGTAATCACTACAATGGCTTCCATTTTTACGATTATAATCAAAGATTTGAAGTACTGAACATCGGATGACCGGAAGTTCTGGTGGATGGTCACAAGCACTTGTCTCAGAAAAAAATCACATCTCTTTACCTGAAAGTTAGGTTAAGGAACATAGGTATATTTTTTTCAAGGACAAGTTCCTGTGTGGATGATGAATACATGACAAGGAATTCAACCCCACCGTTATAACTATTATATTGTAGTGATATAATCATTTGTTATCAGTATACTCTGGTTTGTTGTTATATATTATATTAATATTTGTATAACAGTTATATATAATTTTCATCCATTTGTATATCATTCTATTCTACTATTCTAATGATAGTGCAGTGCAAGTGCATGGTGGACACTCTTCTGTAATAATTCGTTTTTCTAATAGATAGGATTTGAGTAGGCATTCATATTTTCCCGCGTTTGTTACAAAACGTTCTTGAGATATTCTTCCGCATGCGTTGACACAAATTTTCGGTATTTTTTATTTATTATTGATATATATATTTCTAACGACAAAACATTTTCATCATTTATCTATGTTTTTAAAAATTATTTTCATGAATATTTATTGATGAAATTAATATATATATAACAAGCGATAAGGAATGTTATTTTGCACTCAATAATATCCGCGTAATTATACGAAATACGTTCGGTTATCAGTCAAAAACGCAAGTAACGTGGGTAGAAATGTCTGCGGCAACATAACACCGGAATGCCCTCACGGTCATCCGCTGTAAAAAATAGCTGGCGTAATGGGGAGATAATTTTTGACGAAGTAGAATCCTGACTGATTAAAAATGCATGAAAGAAATGTGTCCAAAAGTGAAAAACAAATTTTCGCGCGGGAAAAATCCTCCTGCACCCCCTCCCTGAGAATTTAAAATGGTTTTCCCCTATAACATCATAATATAACATTATACAGGTTAAATAGCTATATATATCTGCAGTTACCTCATTCAAATAAAACTGACGCATATAAGTATATATATTTTAATCTGTTGTTCGTAAAGTTCCTTTTCATTTCCATGTAGGAATCGGCAACAATTACAAGTCGTTAATTTATATTACATATGCTGATGATGATGATGATGGATGGCTACTTAACGTCCAGCGGCAAATTAAATGCATATTCAGGACGAAAACATGTCACTGAATGTAATATGAATATAAACCCAGCTTAGTACTAGACAAACACGCTGAGCAGGATTTTTAACGTGCTAGTTCACAAGGTAACAAACAGTTCACAGGTAGACATGTCACCCTATCCGGACACATTATTCTGACTCCGAGCCAACAAGTCTTTGCTCTTACTTCTTAATGCCGCGTGCTTAGCGGAGAAGCAGCAAATACCAAGTTTTAAAGTTTTTTGGTTTGACCCGGCCGGGGTTCGAACCCACGACCTCTCGCACTCGAGACGATGTTTTATATATGAATTTAAAAAACAACAAACAAAATTAATTTATCAAATTATCAAGATCCCAAGATATGAAATTTTCGACATATTCCTATGCTACGTTATTTGACACGATACGTCCAACATTGTCACAGATAACAAGATGGTTAAACGTCTCCCAAACAAACACTTATAAACCTATAATTAAACCGGTTTTGTGTAATTTTGAAAATAATGTTCAAGGTATAAGGTCAAGTTCATACCTGACAATTGAGCAGTTGAGCAACTTTTGACCCCATGTCTCTATCACAGTCATACTGTTATAACCATTTGAAGATGACAATATAAATATGTTCCCATAGCTTTCTGTAATAAAAACTAACCAATCACAAAACCCCGGCCCCTATGCAAAAACACACTGTATGTACAACAAGACATGTAAGCCTGCAGAACGTTAAGTACACCCAACTTGTAGTTGCTGAGATATGCCGCGGACAACTTCATGGTCAGAAAGGAGAAAAAGAAGAGAAGGTAAGTTAAGATAAAGATTATCTGTTGCATTAAAACTTCGGAATACCAAACGGTATATTGTAGTGTGGCATGATACGGGTTATGTTCTTCTCGTTTAATTTATGATGGCAAGGTACTAAACCCCTTATGGGAGGGATTGTGCTTGCATGATTTTCATATGACGAAGACAATATTTCAATCAGTTTAATTGAAGCCTGGCGCTGGCATGTCAATAAATGCTAGTAGTCCTTTATTTATTTATGTTTATACTTTTTGTATTTTCATTTTGCTTAGTTTCTTCTGTTACCTTTTCTAACATCGGACTCGGACTTCTTTTAAACTGAGTTTTACTGTGTGTATTGCTGTGTGTTTGTTTATTCCACATTGGCTAGAGGTATAGGGGATATTTGATATCTGAAAAAAAACATGTTAAATCCCGGGGTTAAAAAACATTTTTTTTTTTTTTGGGGGGGGGGGGGGGGGGGGGGGGGTCAATTTTTTCCTCAAGATTTAAGAAATCAAAAAGAAAATTTCTTCAAATATAATTTTTTGGAAAAGGGGGGGGGGATAAAAAAAAATTTGGGGGTGTCAATTCTTTTCCCTCAAGATTTAAGAAATTGTCAATTTTCCAAAGAAAAATTGGGGGGTCACAATTTATTTTGCTAATTCTTTGTATATAGTCTGAAAACATATTTACTAAGTATTGCACAACAGCACAGTGAATTGCACAACAGCAAGAAATCTTCAATTGAATATAAATTCAAATCATATAACCAATTTCAAGTTCTTTGACTAAATTTATTCTGTGTCAGAAACCTATAATGTGTCAAATATTTAATTATAATCCAGATTCAGACCTGTATCAAGCTTGAATATTGTGTCCATTTTTCCCCCAACTGTTCAGGGTTGGACCTCTGTGGTCGTATCCAGCTGCGCTCGGCGAAGTAGTTTATTATCCATGACACGAAATCAAACAGACCTAGAAAAATCGTTATTATGCGATTGCACGTGCATGCTTGTCTGGGTATTCATATTTATGTTTTTATCGGATCGTGTGACCATCTGTAGTCTTCGGATGTCATTTCGATGGTCAACGTCTTTTCTATAATACTCACGAAATGCTGATGCATCATAACGAGTCCATGCATTGTTAATTGTTTCTTTTAGACTGTTTGTAATTAGATAATACGTTTGAAGTCAAATCGGTGTTCATGAATTTAACAGATAATTCCCCTTTACAAAACAGTATACATACGTATGTATTGTTTACATGTTGCATATCAGATTTAAAACTGACCTTTATGCAGTAAATTATAGGTATTATTTTCCAATAATTCTGGATGTAACACGCCTACTGATTGGCTGAAAGTACTTTGTGACATAATTTTGTCATGTGACCGTGACGTCATCAACGTTTTTTCATGATTTACTCATTAAAAATGAAATTAAGAATTAATAAGGAAGGACTGTAATATTTTTTCTGTCTATTCGAAATAACCTTAAAAATGTGGTGCACACTTTTAAATAACTCGCTACGCGGGTTATTCAGTGTGCACCATATTTTTGATGTTATTTCTTCATAGAAAGAAAAAAATATTACAGTCGTTCCTTATACACTACTGACACAACACAAATAAAAAACCACAAGCTTTTTTGAAATTTATAAACTCGTCGAGATTAAAAGGTTCCCATGTACTAGTCAAGAACCTCTAGTTTTGTGTTGATAACATATCTTTGATCAGTATAGTCACTATTTCACAAGTTCCTTTATTAGACTCACGGCAACTTTAAGAGATAATGTATAAGACACATGAATATCGTTGAAAACTATATATAGACCTCCAGATATCTTATGTTTACTTTTACTTTGTATTACTGTCTCTTGACATGCATCACAAATGATAATAACTGTGGTTTTCTTTAGCCTTTTGGTACTGTTAAATTATTTCACCCTGAACAAGTCAAACAAACAGTATGTGGGTGTGATCCTGCTGAAGATACTTGTTTGTTCGACAGAAAATCGTATCAAAATATATATACCACAAAGTTTAACATAGTTTGAGTATCTCTGCATGATTTCTACTTAGTCACAGTATACCAATGTCCGTTACTTATAAATTCTGAAACAAATTATACGTGTAACTTTTCGTACGAAGCTCCGTTGTTCAATTTTTAAAATCGAGATACGTAAACACTCTTTGGAATTCCACCCAACGGTATAAATATTTGGGGTTTTTCCTTCCTTGTTCGAAAATTTCTGAAAATGACATACATTACCTATGCAACTTTCAGATACACCTGTTCATCGAGAAAAATACGGTAAAATTAACGCACTAGAAATATGTACGGACATGCAACAAAGGTAAGAATCTTTACAAATAAATACCCTCCTTGTGTTTTATTGTTCGTATGAGTACTGGTTAATGCTATCAGATCAGCATGTAATGGTAGTCATGATACGATCTTGACACGCTTAATGTAAGTTTAGTTGATAGATAAGGACAGCACATGCTTTTTAAGGAGACTTGTTAAAATTTGTAGCCTAAATGTCAAATGTAAATATGAAGTTTTATAGAATACAAAATAATTTCAGAAAAATCTTGTCATGATAATTCTTACAAAGCCAGGCAAGTTATTGACGGATCTATCACTCACAGACGCTTGGCGCATACTATGACCCTTTTTTCTTTTCAACTTTTTGTGTTTCCTTTATTTAGGCTTGACACATTCTTTAATTTTAAAACTTATTTTCACTAATTTATTGTGTTCTTGCTGTTATCAATATATACGATATTACAAGTAGTGTGTATATTTTGCACCTCTATCTTTTTTTACCAATATTTTGCTTTTTTGCTTATATCTTGAAATGAAATCTATAATAGGTAATGATAAAGATAAAATTTAAATGGCAAAAAATGATCTGCAGGAAAAGATCTACAAATTGGTCGAAATGATAGAAATCGTCAGTCGACTTGTAGGAGTTATTGTCCTTAAATGATTCTTTTTTACATATATTTTGCATATTTGGATTAAAATATACAGAGAAAAACTGTAAACAGCAAATATAATAATCAAGACATGATCTACAAATAAGTCAACATAGCCAAAATTGACTCCTTAAAATAAAGGAGTTATTGCCCTAAAATTTACCCTTTTTTATGAGTTGGGCAAAAACTAATGAAGAGAAAAAGAAACTTTAATCAACAAAAATGATCAGCATGGCAAGATTTACACTGGTTAACACAGCTAAAATTGTAAGTCCACTTCTTATAAATTCAATTACGATTTTTACTCTTTCTTTTATGTGATGGGCAAAAGCTATAGTAAAAAGAGAGAAACTGAAAACAGAAAACAATATCAGAAATACAAGATCAACAAAAAAGAGATCTTAGTCATTATATTCTATTCTTTAATGTTGGAGAGTTGCCATTTTTCAACATGCACATATATGCAGGAAAGCGACACATGCTCTTAAGAGCTAGCCTCTAGTTTGTTTAATTTGTTAGACATTTAGACATTGGGAAAGACAAGCGTCAAGCATCAGTCAAATAGATCTGAAAATAAACATTGAGGTCGTAGATGAAGGTATAAAATTAAAGCATACCTACTAAAAAGTCTACGTACGCATAAATTGTTTAATTCAACGTTCTTGTTTTAATCATGGAAGTAATATTGAAATATTACTTCCATGTTTTAATTAATAGAAATCTTGTTTGGAAAGAAAATAGTTCGGAACGAAATCAATCAATGAACGCTATATAGAACATATCAAAGTAGCGATTAAGTTTTATCATAACTGTTCTACGGTGGTGTCGAAGGAAAAGTTTTGTGAAAAGGGTCATGATGACCTGACCATTGTACCAGTTCGGAGCCAATCGTAACTACTCGGCCATTCTCGCTACGAAGTACAGTTATTTCTTCGTGCAACCAGAAAGGCCGAGTAGTTCCGATTGGTTCGGAGCTGGAAACAAACAAATAGAACCGTTTCGAAATAAATCAGATTAAAGAAAAACGATAAACTCCATTTTTACCGTGTTCGTGAAGTCCAGCACTCAGCCACGTTTCGGTCTGATTTTTATTTGGCGAATGTTTTACGTTACTTATACAGTACTAACAGTCCGACAAAATGTGAATTAGTATAGACTCTGACGGCGATCGATGTATTTATTATACATTTTTCGTGGATAGGTTATAGTCACTGACTGAATTACCGCCATATATAGAATGTCCTTGATTTGGTAACTCGAATAAATCTGCGCCCTCTAGCGGCCTATAGCCTATCGAGGTTTGTTGGTTAATGTAGCAATCGGAGCTAAGTCGGAGATCGGCGGAATATAACGACTGACATTATTTGGGTTATTGATTTAGCCGAATTTAAGTTCAATTAGTGCAAAGCCAGACTGATATCACAAAATGATCTTAATGTTACCTGTTACGTAAGGTTTTCCAGTTGCGTTTTATTGGGGAAAAGAACGTATAAATGTCAAACGTAAGCATGATTAAGTAAAGAATCTAAAATAGACCCTTTAAAGGATATGAAGATAAAAACACGATACAATGATTTACCAATGAAGTCTTATTAATTACAGTAATTTATTTCTAATGATGTATAAAAATTTGCATTGGAAATGTTAGATAAAGATATTATGCACATAAGATTCCATAGTATCGATTTCATCTCTCGACCTCATACCAGGCCCTCGACTAACGCCTCGGGCTCACATACGAGTGTTTGGTTAATATCGTGACTGATATGGAAAATGATGCGTAACAAGCTATAGATCTACATTTTATGACTAATTATAAGGAAAATTGGGGACATCTTAGAGAATTTAAACTTTTATGCACTCTTTACTCTTTTGTGTACTTATTTGTCATTAATTTAAAAGCATTAATGTTTAATTTTCAGTTTTGAAGATGAATTCGATAGTCAAGTTTTACACTATTTTTGTGGCGCTTTTGATTATTGAGATATCAGATGGGGAAAAAGATTGTAAAATACCATGCTATTGCAACCCTAAACAGAAAATGGCAACATGTGCATCTCGTCACTTACATTATATACCTAAACTACCAAGTTATGTGGAACAAGTTAAGTTTGTGGGAAATAACTTCACACATCTTAGTAAGAGTTTCTTTAAAAATCTTACATCGTTTAACAAAATCAATTTATTGAACCTAACAGATAATTTGGTGTTAAATATAAGTCTGGACGCTTTTGCTGACTTTCAATATCTAAATACATTGGACATTTCAACAGAGAAAAAGCTACCCATTTTCTCTCTTAAGAAGGCATTTCGAAGTTTAAATAACTCAAGGATAAATAGTTTGGATTTTTCTGGAAACGGATGGGAATATCTGCCTCCAGATATGTTTAAAGAGCTAAAGTTAAGTCGGATTCGTTCCTTATCCATGACTTCGAACTTACTGAAGGAATTGCATGGTGGAATATATTCTTACCTGACAGAGTTAAGAATCCTAAATCTGGCATACAATGACATCAGAAATGTTAATCTTTCTGGACTTACTGTCTTGGAGGAACTTGTGTTAAAGGATAATAACATTCATAACATTCCTACATGGTGTAATAGTACAGGTGGTAGTTTTGTTCCACAACTAAAAGTATTGCGACTTGACAGTAATTCAATTACCGAAATGAATAGTTCGTCTTTCAAGTGTCTTCAAAATCTTAAACAGCTGCGCATAGATTACAACAATTTCCGTTTCCTAGAAAATAACACATTCAGCGATCTTGTTAAACTCGACAGGCTACATCTTTCACATAACACAAGGCTACAAGTCATTCAGGAAACAGCATTTAATGTATCATCTTTAAAATCTTTGTATTTTCAGAATAACGGTTTCCATTTTGATAAAGGGAACAAGTTCAACGCTAAAACGATATTCAGCTATTGTCCAAACTTAATGACACTAGATATGTCCAGCAATTTTTTACCATCTCTTAAGAAATCTCAATTTTTGAAGTTAATGTTCATTCCTCTGATAAAATTAGAAAAATTAACCTTACCGAATACAAGAATCAGGGCTTTACCCTTTAACCTCTTCCCTAAAATGAAATTCTTAAAGACTCTCAATTTACAGGGAAATTTCATAAATGGTTGGAATAACGGTGAGAGAATATTTGGTAATAAATCATCACTAAAGACATTAAATCTTCAAGCAAATAACATCAGACTGGTAAACAGAACTACATTCCCACCATCTATTTTATCATCGCTGGAATCTCTTGATTTGTCCTCAAATCATTTTTCTTGTACATGTGATCAAATCTGGTTCCGTGAATGGATACGGGAAAACTTTGAATCAAAATCAAAGAAAAACAATCTAACACTGAATGGTTATCCACAGAAGTATGCGTGTATGTTTCCCAGCAATCTTAGGGGAGTGTTACTTAGAAACTATAACCCCACACCTGAAACATGCAAGGAGAAAAATTATTTCATAGCTATAGCAGTAATAATAACTTTGGTTGTTGTTTTGTCGATCGTTGTCCCCCTTTTGTTATACAGATGTCAAACAAATATCCGCAATTATATTTACGCATGGAGATTTTATAAGAAAAGGAAATCCGGCTACGTTCGTTTAGATAGTGAAGACTATGATTATCACGCGTTCGTTGTTTATTGCGAATCGGATCGAAAATGGGTTCACAATGTCTTAGTTAAAAAATTGGAAAATGAAGAAAGTATGCGAATTTGCATTCACCATAGGGATTTTGACATTGGGGCCCCAGTAACAGGCAACATTGGAAAATACATGAGTAAATGTCGAAAAATTGTTGTTGTAATGTCGAACGACTTTGCCGAAAGTGAATGGTGCCAATGGGAAGTGGACTTAGTTCAAGAACGTCGTAGAAAACAAGGAAGGGGTGTGTCATTACTTATAATGTTACATACTATAGATTCGAATCATATGACAGATTCATTGAAGACTTTATTGGACAGTACTCCTCATTTACAGTATAGTAATGGCGTTGGAGAATGGCTGTTCTGGAAAGCCCTGATAGAAGGACTGAGGAAACCGTTTGGGCATCCACCGGTTGCGGTTTTGTAACCTCAGCAATATTTTCTTGTTTTATATATAGATATCTTTAATTAGTTTGTTTTTACATCATCCATGCCTTAGTTATGCATTGGACAAGAAACATTATGTTCTTTCATTTGTATATACGTTAAAATAATTTTTTTACTTGTTCCTTTTTTTTATATGTACTGTATGTATCTTGTATGCTTTTGAATATACATTTGTAGATAGTATACCGAGCTCGTGGTTTCTTTTTTCAAGAATCAAACTTATTCATTGTATCTATAATACGTAACTTGAAATCTGATAACTAGATGCATTCGGTAGTAGTCAAACACTATAGAGAAGCATCCAAAACTTATTATAGCTTAAAACAACAAAGTAAGAGTTGGCAGTACATAATGAAGGTTCCCTGCTGATGCGACTGTCATACAAGTGAGAGGTTTAGCTAGCTATAAAACCAGGTTCAATCCACCATTTTCTACTTAAGAAAATGCCTGTACCAAGTCAGGAATATGACAGTTGTTATCCATTCGTTTGATGTGTTTGAGCTTTTGATTTTGCCATTTGATTAGGGACTTTCATTTTTGAATTTTCCTCGGAGTTCAGTATTTTTGTGATTTTACTTTTCCCTGATGATACATAAACATCCAGTTGTATAAATATATGTATTTTTCTCTCAAATTATAGCATTTTTTTTGGGCATTCATTCACTAAATCGAGGAAGCATAAAATAACATGTCATAACTTGTTGAATTTCATAAAGTCAGGTTAAAGTTCATGTCAAAATTATGTACATTGTCAACATTTTAAATTGTAATCGGTTTAAACATAGATCCATTTAAATAGTTCAAACTGTTAAGTTATTACCATTTATTACATACAATATATATTTGTATGGGGGATTTAAATTTAAAACACTGCATGTAATAAACACAACCTTTATTTCATAACCTTTAAAAAAGCGTTGCTGTAAATTTGAATGACCGTATGAAAAAAATTATTGTTGGATCTTAATGTTGCACTGGGAAAATGAGAAAGGCATTTGTACTTCTTTTTAGAAGAAAATCGTCATTGAGGATCAGAATAATGGCTTTCAACAGTATTGTTTGCATGACATACTTTACAATGATGACACTCACAATGACATCTTTAGCATGGTATGGAATTTTACCAAATATTTTTAAAAACGATTTCAGACAACTATTTCGACACAAGTGTTTTACTGGATTTGTCTTTTCGAATGCAGTTGGAAATTGTATTTTATGTCTTGTAACAAACACTAGTGTAAAGAAGTTTTTAACAAGGTCAAAATCCAAAGATGTGACAGGAATTGAAGACGAGTGTGAACACTGTAAATGTCCGTCACCTCCAAGATCTCATCATTGCCCAATGTGTGAGACATGTATACTTAAACGGGATCATCACTGCTTTTTCATGACAGTTTGTATTGGATACCACAATCAAAAATATTTTATAATGTATTGTTTTTATATGTTATTAGGTACATTTTATGCTGTGTTTCTTATCGTTAAATATTTAAAAGTATTCTATAATGTAACGTTCTACGGACCCCAGACATTTATATTCCTCTTTATTGACACATTCCTGAAGTTCTTCACTAAGGCTGATAATGACGATTTGTATTTGTTTATGATAGTTATGATGTTTGGATCACTATCAGCTGGCCTTCTCGTTGGTGGACTGTGGTTCTGGCAAATTTTGTTGGCATTTTCAGGACAATCCACGTTTGAAGCATCTCGTAAAATGAAGAAATATTCATCATCTAAGTATAGGAATTTTATAGATGTTTTTGGAAAATACTGGCTGCTTTCCATATTTATACCTTTACCTTTGCCGCAGTGTTCGGATGGTATGTTTTCAAATCATTCTAAGTCTTAAGTACTGTTTTACTAATAAATTTCGAGAGCTATTTGTTCTTTTTTCTTTAAATTATTCACGAGAGGATTTCCAGGACATCAGTCTCCTTATCACCTAATGATAGTTGTCATCTAACACACACGTATCTATAGAAAACGAACAGGACCAACATAAATGAACCATCAATGATGTTTCCTTGCTCTTATCCACAATAATTGTAGTTTATCCGCGCTGACGCTCTAAAAGTTAACCATAGAAGGGCGATAACACGAGCGCCTGTGACTGAAAGTGCGTTTTCGGGTCTTTTTGGCATCTAACCGTAAGAGCAAACGATGTACACCATTTAAAATGAAATTACATTAAAGTACTTGAAGGATTTTCATAAGGAATAAAAGGCATACAGTTTGGAATAATGGTCAGGAAATAAATGAAATTCTTGCGGTTGAACCCTTACAATACAGGCTATTGGTACTTCACACCTTTTTTTTTTAAATAAGTGGTAAGTGTTTTAGATATACATTCATTAACCAGATCAATAATTTATATGAAATAGACAAGTCAAACAAAAAGTATTACTCCTTTCATTCGTAATTATATCTAAGAAGACAAGACCTCCCGTCGTCCTTTCCGACGATCATTTGAAACATAGATTCTGATTTTAACTTTTTAAATTTGTTATTCCGTTCCGTTTTACAACTTTCACATTGTACACGGAAAAGTTTCGTCAAAAGTTTTAGTGCATCTCTTTCTTGATTTTGACGTCCGACGGTCTGTTTTGGGTCCATTGGGCCTAACAAGTTAAACTAACTGGCTGTTGAACATCAGATAAATATCACACTACGGTTTGCCATGTGTTGCTGAAAATGTTTGCTGCCGTTGTTTAAAATGGCCTGTAAAGGCTTTTTGCTATTTTTTTATGTAAAGGTTACAAAAAGAACTATCGTACAGTTAAATTCGACTTGCATTATTTACAGCATTCATAGACATTTATAATAAAAATATTTTACAATGCCACAGTAATTCTTAAGAATTTACAGTGTAAAACATGTGTAAAACATTTGACAATGTTTGTGAAGGGTGTGAAATATAAGATCTGACTTGCGACGGGACGTTAAATCAAAAATGCACATACGCCTTACAAAGAAGGGACCAAACATACACCCTACAAAGAAGGAACTAAACACATATCCTTCAAAGAAGGACCTAACAGTACATCCGACATAGGAGGAACATAACATACATCTGACAAAGGAGGAACATAACATACATCCGACAAAGGAGGAACATAACAAACATCCTACAGAGGAGGAACATAACATACATCCGACAAAGGAGGAACATAACATACATCCGACAAAGAAGGAACTAAACAGTACATCCGACAAAGGAGGAACATAACATACATCCGACAAAGGAGGAACATATCATACATCCGACAAAGGAGGAACATACCAAACATCCTACAAAGGAAGAACTAAACATTTAGTTTTGAATGTCCTCTTGGTATATCTTCCGCCTCTTTTTTAAATTAAAGACAATTATGTCAAAATTTCTGCATTGTAAATATCGAAATAATGACCAATTAACAAACAATGATTTTATCTGTAAAATGGGTTGCAATAGAATAAAAAGAAAAATTGTGCTATCTCCGCGTTTTCCATCTTAAGATTCTCATAACTTGAGTCCCTTTTTCCCGAAAGATCCTCTGGCTTTCAGTGAAATCGTATGAGAGCCTATATTGGGCTACGTCGCTCTTCAATGCTATCTTGCTAAGGTATTTACTGTTAATATTGGGAAAACCAAAACCTTCTGAAGGGAAAAGGACAAATTGTTTAAAGTACAGAACATATAGTTACGATCATCCTTGAGAAATTATAAATTTTAGTTACCATTATCATAACATATTCACGAATTGAGTTTTTCGTCGAAATAACACATTTTTCGTTATATAAAGTATTGTACATGGTAATACTTCAGTTGACATTAACATAAACAAACAATTACATTAGCGATGGGTCGTTAAGAATTGACATATGATGAAATATTGTTTCCCCAATTCCTGCGTTTTATTTAAAGAGGGTTACGCAATTAGCTATAACACTAATCTTCCATGAGGCCCTCGTGAAATGCAATGAAATATAACAAACAAAAAATCTACAAAATAATCAAACTAACACACACATATAAGAAAAATCAAATACGAAACTGTTATGAAATACACAATTTTCAAAACAGGTAAAAATTAGGAATTCATATAGTATTGGCATCATTCATATTATACCTTAACAATATTTAAAGTTTAAGTAAGTGAGAAAATTATTATGCATATAAAATTACACAGCTTCTTTATATTCCAACAAGTAATTTTTCAAAATGGAATGAGCTTGTACTTGAGGTTGATTTTTTCAGGGCCAATGAGTTCAATGAGCTGAGTTTCACAGGATCTGCCTTTCCTGAAGCCATGTTGCAACGTATAAAGAATCACGGTTTTAATTCTAATCACGAGTTATGATTTATGACACAATTATATGCTCCATAACTTTACAACATATTGACGTCATAAAGATGGGTCTAAATTTGCTGCAGAATACTTTTGACCCTTCTTGAAGACCGGAGATACTTTTGCTGAGCGCCTGTAATTTGGCACAAATCCAATTTCAAAGGATTTAGAATCGGTGCTGCCTCACTGTGTAATTCTTAAATGATTGGAAGTGATACTAGTATCCAATCTGGAATTGTGGATTTTATTTCATAGGAGTTTGTCTTTTTCATAATTGGTATCTATCTTATTACCTACTAGAATGCGCTTTAATGAAATAATTAGTCTTGTGTGGATGTTCTTCTTTCATAGAATGCGTATTTAAATTGTGTATTAAAGATGTTCGCCTTGTCGGCAGGTTCAGGTTACAGTTTTCCTTCATTATCGACGTTATATATCTTTTTTTATGCCCCACCTACGATAGTAGAGGGGCATTATGTTTTTCGGTCTGTGTGTTCGTTCGTTCGTCCGTCCGTCTGTCCCGCTTCAGGTTAAAGCTTTTGGTCAAGGTAGTTTTTGATGAAGTTGAAGTCCAATCAACTTGAAACTTAGTACACATGTTCCCTATGATATGATCTTTCTAATTTTAATGCCAAATTAGAGTTTTGATCCCAATTTCACGGTCCACTGAACATAGAAAATGATAGTGCGAGTGGGGCATCCGTGTACTATGGATACATTCTTGTTTTTTCTTCTTTTCTTTAATGTTTGACAAAAGTTCAAAATCCTTGCGTTCCTCAAATGTTTTTTCGTCGTTTTGAGGACTAACTATGTCTTTGATGTATTGCTAGTGTAATTATATGCATTTCGTTGTTTCTT